ATTTTTCATAAAGACAGCAGCTACAGAAGTGGTTAGAAAATTGAAATCTAACCACTACATTTATATTCGGATACCAGGAGGTGTGGGCACACAGAGATGTATGTGACATGACACTGAAAAGACAGGGGATGTGAAAAAAAAATGAAGGATTGGTATTCACTATTATGTTCTTACCTAAAGAGTCCTCATTCTTCTCAAAAAATATGTCCTCATTTTTCTAAAAAAAGTACCCTGCAGATTTAAAGGAGAGTAAGTTGTAAACCTCAACATCACTAAACGAGGGGGAGAGAGTTGCATAATAATCAGGCTTTCCTTTTGATAACTATTATTGTCTGTAATGTTTTGGTCTTCGTCATTTAAATACAGGATTCTAGTATCTACTCAAAGCACAGTTAACTAAAATTATTTCCCTCAAGTTCAGTACAATTGTGATGCAAGTGGGTTCACTTTTAATTTATTAATGTGACCAAATATTCGCTAATAAGTAAATTTAACTTTATAATACAATATTTGATGTAATATATTTAATTTAGTTCTTTAAAAGTTTTATTGACTGTATAAATAATCTTGTTCCTTATTACGTTCACTTAGGGAAAGGAGAAAAACAAAAAAAGGAATGGTGGATGAAAAAATAATTTTTTTCTAACCTTTGCTGTTAGAATCAAAAGATATGCTGCCTATGAATATCATTCAATTTGATAAGTGTTTTATCTAGCATCAGTAAATAGATAATTTCTAAACATAGGTGGGTCCTATCATAAGAATAGAAACTGATGGAGATCTCTGGTGCTACAGTCACTCTGAGTGCCTACAATTGCTAGACTTATTAGATCTTATGAAGCTGAATTTATCAGTTACCCAGCCTGCCCTCTGTGGTTGGCATAGAGACAGAGCTTTGGCACAAATTCTTAAATCTGATGGCGCAATTTGGAAAAAGCATATGACCAAATCACAAAGCTTAAAGATTTATGAAATGACATAATACAATGGCTTTGGCATCAAACTAAATTAAAAAACAAAAGATATATGTGCAACTTTGAGCCAATTTTACCTAAATAATGTCTTAAACTCCCTTGCCGGCATTCACATATATCCTAGAATCATACCATGAACCTTCCTGACAGATAGAAACAGATGTAAAACTCCCCCTTTCCCAGGGGAATAAAGAATTTGGTCCCCAAATCAGTGTTGGAAAGCACCATACAGGCTCTGTCTGTCTTCCTGATTCCTGTTTGAAGTCATAAATGAAAGTCGTAGACCTCAGGAAAAAAGAGAATGAGAAGCTATATGGTTATAATAAAAGAGATGTTACAGAAATACAAAACCCTCCAGTACAAGAATGCAGAGGACAGAGAAGGCACAAATATAATTCAGCTTTACTTGAGCAGGTGGAAAAAGATAATACAGTAAGACTTGCCGTGCACCTAGGAAGATCTCTGGCAACATGTGGATTTTACAGATTCGTCTTAGTGTTGAACATCAGCGTCGTGTCATCCTGTGGAAGAGACGATGGTGAAACTTCCATAACTGAAACGAAAGTCAGAGCTAATGGGCTGACCTTTCAAAAATACCTTAGCCTTTTTGATGGCATTTGTTTTGTCTGGCGACTGAAGGGCCTGGTGAAGTTCATCACTTTGGAAATAATGCAGCTCCGCTCTTGTAATTCTGTTATATTTCCTCTCTTAAAACAAAAACCTTTGTGTGGCAAATAAATACTGTGTTCAAAGCAGCATTCATTTACTAAGGTTTACGAGGATCATAATCAGTATGAACGTGTCACTGGTAGGACTGTGCTGTTGTGAGTTGCCCTCCAGGGTGATGAATGTCAAAGTTCACAGAATCTGTGTGATTCACTGCCTAGTGTTGCAAGAAAACAGTCCAGCCGACACTTCTTTGTCTTTTCAGTATGAGCTTCTTTTTACTTTAGCACCTGTTCTTAAAACATTGTTTGTTCTTTTCCTTTTTTCTTATTCTATTCTCTCTCTTTGGCTTTAAGTCTTAAATGAAGCTCGGAATTATTTTGAAAAGAATATAATTTTTTCCTCTAAGTGTCACAAAAGGCAAAATTCTTACACAGCTCTTTACACGAGGAAGAGATGAAGGATTAAGTGTCCTGCAATTTGAATGTTACAAATTCAAAGATAAATAAATAGGCATTCTGATCTGACACAAAATTCCTAGGAAAAAAGGCACGGCACAAGTGGAAATGTTTCAGCGTAACTCAGAGAAAAGACCCTGAGCTGCAAGCTTTGTGCCTCTTTCCTGTTCCATGGGTAGAATGACTCATCACAGTTGACTTGACAATTCTGAGGAGCTGGGAGAATCCACCAAGATTGACTGTCATTCAACAGAGAACAAATTGCCCAAATCAAAGGGCTGTTTTGGCTAATCACAAGCAGTGCACTGTGATGTTTTGTTGTATCTCTTTGTTAGATAAAAAGCAAATTTGGCTTGAGAAAAGAATCGACAAAATATGAACTTTCCTGGAAAAAGTAGCCACGTCAAGTTGCCTCCAAGTTGGTTTGCGTGAGATTTTGGGGGTTCAAACCCCAGGTTCTGGTTTAATCAGTTTCTTTATCCTTAAAAGCTCTGCTGCTTGTAAATGCATTGTAAATTTCTATTTAGAGAAACTATTAACAGAAATCTGGGGTGTAATGTAAAATTCAGTCAGTGTAATTACTATGTTAGTCATCTGGGTTGTAATCTAATGAATATTTACCCATGGATGCATTGTCACCTACCAGCTGTCATATGGGACAGCACGGGTCCCAAGGCAATCCTTCTGACTCCCTCTTTGTGGAGTAAGAGAAAGTTCTGAGTCTTGGCATATGATACCATACTTGGAACGCAGCTCACCCAGCGCACTTGTGAAGGACTACAATCCAAACTTGTTGCTACTCAATTATCTTACTAAACACTAGCATAAAATTAAACTGATTTATGAAGAATTGCCTGAGATACGTGCAAGCCATCTGTTCCTCTGAGTCAGCAAGCAGAAGATCAAACGACTGCAGAGGGCGTGAGCACACGTAAGTGCACAAAGGCGGGTCTGGCGGAACCAGGAAGGGAAGAGGATGAGTCCGGTGGTTAACTGGTGAGGTGCAGTCCACACCTGGAAACATCGTTTTTTCTTTGTGGGGACGCCTTTCGATGCCAGCAAACCCATTCCCATGCCTGAACTTGGCTTGCAGCCTGCCCATTGTCCTTCCGCCACCCAGGTGATCCTTGTCCTAGATTAATTAAGTCAGCGCTGCAGAGAACTCCCTGGACTTTCTTATTTGTCCCTGATTACAACTGGTTTCACTGAACTCTGACTTGACGCGGTTTGGACACATTTGGGGTAGAAGGTCAGAAGAGGTCTCCTCTTCTGTGTCACCGTCTAGTGAATGCACAGATTCTCTCTCGACAGCAGTGGGCTTTGCTCTTTAACAAAGCTTCTCCGGTTCTGTCTCCAAGATGTCACAGCCCTCAGATCAAAGTCCACGCCCGTCTTCCATCCTGTGCTGGCAGGGGTGCCTGTTGAAAGGATCCTCGGTTTTGTTTCAGAGGCACAAAGAGTGGGTCTGTGTCCACCGCCACTCCCTCTGCCACGGGTGCTGGCACACATGGGGCAGCCCCCCCCCAGGGCTGTCATTGTCGGGGTGACTGTCAATGATTCTGCCTGATGAGTTTTGAGCACAGTGATTTGTGCCACTTCTAGCCCAGGGTAATTATCTCCAAACATAAGAACCCCCTGCGCCCTGGTTTTCCTCTGCTGTGGTCACTGCCGGTGTTCCAGACAGTGACAACCCCGTCAGCGGAGGTCGCGGTGAGGATGGCAGTGACCACACTCGTCCATTGTCACCATTCAGTGCCAAGGGACTTGGAATGACCTTGGTTGTTTCAAGCCAGAGAGTTAGAGAGTTCTTTTTTTTTTTTTTACTGTTATCATATTCCAGCTTGAATTCTCCTCACGTCCATGTCCGTGGATCACTGGAAGGGCAGATGTAAGGAGAGCTGTGCGCAGGCAGGCTCCCTGACACACCTGCTCCCCAGGGCCGAGGGGACTGGAGTCTAATCTTTGTAACCAGGATGATTAATGATAAAATCCAGTATGTGTGTATTTGGCAACAAGAAGCAGACTTTCTCTATTTTCTAACAACACTGCAAAGTAGAACGAAGGCAGAATTTTTCTGGAAAAAAAAAAATCCCCTGATATAAAAGCTCTACGGAACATATGATGCTTAAGATTCCTTTCCCTACATGACGAAACTGATTTTTCAGAGTGAAAAAGACAAGGCCTTGCAGTCACCCAGCTCTGCACATTCAGCTGGTAATTTATGGCCGTCTTCCTAGACGCTGACATGGCAAGTAGGCGGTGGTCTCCAGGCTCAGAGAAACACTTCACTGTAATTCATGTGAGAATGCTGCTGAGGGCGCTTTGATTTCAGAGGATAAAATGCTCCCCTGACCTAGTGTTTTTATGGGGTAAACACAGGGCTCCTGGCTCCTTGTCTACATTGTCTGTTAGGAAGCTGACGGCTGGACTTTAGGATCAGAACCAGCAAACGCAGAGGACTGTCACAATGTGTATTTTGTGTACTGACGTCGCTCTTAACTATCAGATAAAAATTTAAGAGGCTGGAATATTAAGATACAGAGAGTTATTCCTACTTCTTTTGACTATTCTTGCAACATGCCTCTAAGGTTAAAATTACTTCAAAATTTAAAAAAAAACTGTTTTAATGAAGAAATGTGGAGCTAAAAGTTCAACAACATTATCTAGATTTCAGTATTACTTCATGCTTTTCCAAGCATTATGCTACCCTGAATTATATTTCAGTGTTATTTTATGTACTTCCTTGGAGGTAAAATTACTTTTCATCTTATTTTCTTTCATCATACATTTGGTCTAGTGCTTCTCTTGGGAAAAAAAAAAAAAGCTAGCCAGAATGACCCAAGTTTTAACATGTAACTCATACAGAAAACTTGCAAAGCTAATTTCTGTCTCTTTCCCATAGGTTTCATATGTCAAAGCTATCGACATTTGGATGGCTGTCTGCCTCCTTTTTGTGTTCTCAGCCCTCCTGGAATATGCAGCTGTAAATTTTGTGTCAAGACAGCACAAGGAACTTCTGAGATTCCGACGGAAGAGAAAGAACAAGGTAGGTGATTGCACGTATGAAGTTCTCCAGGATGCCAGTTCTCCCTGGAAAGTGGATTTGTTATATTTAATAAGGATGTAATCGAGAAGAAATGGCGACTGGGGACCAGATGATATGATGTTCCTTTGGTTTTGTCCAACTGAAGCTTAAATTGTCAAAAGTAGCTTCAGGGAGAAACTGGTAATATCCAGCTCTGCTTTACGCAGGAGGCCTGCTGGCACCAGAGCTTTATCAGCTTCTTTCTGATATATGTCCTGGAACAGCACCATTTTTTTTTTTTTTGCTTCAACTAGTAAAATCTATCATCCTTACTTGCAATGTTACAGGGTTTCTGATGGGTTTACCTGACATTAATCATCAGATATAGCTATTAAGATTGTTCCTTTTTTCAAACTAATTCCTTTAATTGTTTCCATCAAATATTACCTGTTTATTAATACTGTGATATTTACATAAAACCACGTGGTCTCTTTTTTACGCATACTTTTATGTCTTTAAGACATTTCTTCTGACTCCCTGTGGGAAACACGGTAAGATGTCATTATTGCCCTGGGTCACCTGATAAATGAAACCCAGAAGAGGTTTTACACAGAACGTCACTGGGAGACCACAGGAAATGGTAGACATGATCTCCTAGTTGGATCTGGGTGTACAGGATGGGGTTGTTACCCTCTATTCAGAGTTATCATGTCATCTCTTTTTTATATGCATATAATTTCAAACTCTTTCCTTTTCTGAAAGGGAGCGGCTTATCTCTGAGTTTACTTTTAAGAGAATGTGCCAGCTGACATTTTAAAAGCAAACGACTCTTAAGCAATAGAAATATCAAAGTTGTATATTGCGGGAGAAGCTGTGGCCAGAATCCAATATTCTGAAATGTTTAAGTCAAAACATTCTCAAATCTCAAAATTAACAGTCTGGTTTATGGAGTGGGCATTTTTAAGGATTTAATTTTTTTAAAGGAATTTCTTATGGTTTCTGAATTACTGATGGTGATTCATACACTTATAAAACTTTTTTAAAAGCACTAAGCCATGATCTCTCAGTGCTGAGCCAACTCAGTATTAAACATACTCTAAAGCGATCATTTAGTTCAGGCGTGTCTAAGTGATTCCCCAGAATCACTGCTGCTCCCATAAATACGCAGACTCACTGAAGCTTGGAAGGAATGTTAGCACTGTGATACTCTGGGTAACATACCGGACAGGAAAACAATGCCAGAGTTTGCACTGGATCAAGTTTTTATGAAAATAAAAGCACATTGTTTGTGCATTAAAACATTTTCATGGGGAGATGAACTTTTCTTTATCTCCTGCTGGTCTCCTTATACCTTCCTCACTCTGCCCGCTCTGCCTCTCCCTGTCTTTCCTCCCCTTCTTTCTCCCTCCCTCGCTGCCTGTTTGCCCCCTTCTGTCATGATACCCGACGTGACTGAAACACCAGCACGGGACAAAGCATCCTGTGTCCCGGGGGCCAAGCTCTTCTCTCTTTTTTCCCATTAATACCTGATGAAGACAATTTTTCCTTCTCACATCATTAATCAGAAGTAAAACAATACTGATTTTTCCCTCTCCTTTGGGTTTACTGGTTTACATTTATTTTTCATTTTCTCTACCTTTCTTCTCCTTCCTGCAATTCAGGGTGTGTCAGCACCGTGCTGCAAACACGAGAAATGAGAAGTAGTGCAGCATGTGTTGTCCAAAGAGGGGCTGAAATCATCCCCACCTCCCACCCATCCCACAGTCAGAGGAGCCAGTGGGGAACGTAATAGACTGCAAGTTTAGATGCTCAGTTCTGGTTCCTCCTTTAAAACAAAACAAACCAGAACAAAACAAAAAACAATCCTTACCAAAGCAGCTCTTTATTCACTTTTATCACCGCTAAGTGTATCAGGATAACAATATTCGACACTCCTTATGCTTTAGCTCACAGAATAACAGCAGGATTAAGTTTTCCAGTTGATTGGCACTTTAGAAAAATGTAGAAATGCAAAAATAGTAACATATTATTATTTTCTAATTATTTGTTTGAAATACTCAGGGAGCAAATATTGTAATTAAGATGTGGTGCAGAAAAAAAAACTTTTTTTTTTTTTTAGTTCACTTCCTCTTTTGGAGGGTGGATATCTTGCAAATGTGAAAATCTATTAATTGATCCATATGTATGATCTCTGCAATCAACACCAACTGTGTGATTATATTTAATCCTTTATGACCTGATTCTCTGGTTTCTCAATCCCTCTTGGTCCACTTTACCTTCCCACAGACAGAAGCTTTTGCATTGGAGAAGTTTTACCGTTTCTCAGACACGGTAAATTGACTTTCTTAACTCTAAGCAGAGGAATGTGGTCATCAGTAAAGTGCAGACGGCACATCCTGCACTCAGGCAGTGTTTGGTGGGGAAACAGCCCTTTGCATACTTATCGCTGACCAAATGCCATCCCTCTTCCGCTGAGGGTACTCACTTTTCCCATCAACTCCATTTGTCTTCCTTCATTCAGTAAAAAGATCCTGCAGTGTTACCTTTCATCCTATTAACTGGGTTATTTGTTTGGTCAGAATAACTTTTAAGTATATATGAAGCAGAAATATCACATATGTCTTAACATAGTCTCCATAGAAGAAATAATCCTATGCTTTGATAACATTAATTTCAAAATAAATGCCAAATTTAATTATTCAAATAAGTTCCAAAAACAGCCCCTCTAGCCGGAAAAGAGAGATCTAAAAATAAAATACTTTGTCCAGCATATATACCTCTAGAATACATTTTTAATGTCAAGATCTGTTGAGATTCTTCAGAGAAAATGAATGATTTTGGCTTTGATAGTAGCATCCTTTGAAATGTCTGAGTAACGAGATCGCAAAGACACACATGCAAATACAATGGCTAAATATTTGCAAATGTAGTCTTGAATATGCATAGTTACACATAGTAGCTGCTTTGGTGAGGGATATATTTAAATTTTCAATAACTAAATGCACATAGGAGCTTTAGTGTAAAATATACATATTCAATTAAATAGTGCTTTACAAAACAATGCAAAAAGAAATCTGACCAAGAAAATTGGGTTTACTTCACTAACAGTGAGTAAATACTTATTTTAAAAAATTACATGCATCCCATTTATTTTTCTAATAATCATCATGCAAATTTGGGGTTAATCATTTGCACTTTTTGAAAACAATTTTTCTCAACCTAATAGCCCTCTGGGCCTAATGAATTCATTATTTAAAAAAAAGCTATGTACTTTGCTTAGAAACGGTCTGAGCAATTTAAATGTTTAAATCAACATAATCAAAATGAGTCTAAATGTTGACACAGTGCCCTTTCTTTTCGTGAGTACTGATTTACACGAGTTCTTCTTAGCACTTTAATTTGGCAAAAGAGGCAATAAATAAAATAGCCTCAACTTTTAATTCATTCACATATTTCATTATAGAAGGCTTGTCACAACAGAGGACGGATGCACATACTATTCCAAGAAAAGTCTTAACTTGGTCCAGCATTGGCTTAGGCACTGCATACAACCTTTTACACCTTAGTTTTCCCTCTATGAAGGTAGGAGCGAACCTTTTGTATAGTGTGAAAGAATACAAGTTTGCTCTTGAACCTGGATTTCCCCACCCCACACTGTCATAGCCTGCTGTGTGCTGACTGCCCGCCCCGCACCTTATCATAAATGCTTATCCTCAGTGCTGCGCGTGTGTGGGTGGGTGTCTGCATGAGATGAAAGTCTTTAGGTTAGAAGTTGCTCTTCCCATGTCTGATACCATTCCTGTGGCCCTGGTGGGTTACAAACACAAGCCAAAATATTTCTGAACAGAAGTTATTTGTTGAGAAATGTGGATGATATGGGATTGCTTGAATACATTTCATGCAGCTTCTGCATTGCTCTGTAATGATGCAATGGTTTGCTGAGCAGAAACACACCCAGTATTCTAGTGTCTCTATCTTCCCAGAGATTATTGTGTATTAACTATTATTGACATACACAAATGAAGTAAGACTAGACCACTAGTTCTAGATTCAAAAAATAATTACCACGTTTGTATTTTGTTAAGCATGATAGTTATCTTTTTTCAATAAAGATATCATTGACTGCATTTTGACTATCTGTACAGATGATAATTTTATTTATGTATGTATTTATATCCTGTCTTACTTCAAAAACAACTCAAGGTAACTTCTAAGAATAGCAAATAATTGGTTTTTCTGTACATTTTGTCGGCTCTGTAGTCTTAGGCAAATACAAATATGCATGTGTACTATTTTGGTTGAAAGGATGAGACTTTATGGTTGAAAGCAATGTGGTAGTCACACTAAAGTATTTAATAAAGTTTCCATTCAAGGTCAGTTTATACTAGATTCCAGAGTATAAGATATCCTTTCCATAGGTAAGTATTTCTTACAAATTTCTCTGATATATAACTTAAAAAAAAGAGTTTCTTGATAATTTCAAACTAACTTCTATTTGAGTGATTCTGAGACACAGGGATTGGAAAGTTCATCCTCTCAAGTGAAACAAAAGTTGTAAGAATTTAATTATTTCCTGCCAACAATTATTTTGAGTTTATGTCAAACACAACTATTTCTTAGAGCTATATATCCCCTCTGAAATATCTGTTTAGGAGACTAATATTCCAAAAAGTAGTAAAATCTCTACTTAATCTAATTTCACATGCGTTTCAGTGACTTCCATCTCATAGTTAACTAAAATAAATACACTATGTTTTGTATATGTTGTCTATTGTAATATATTATTTTATGTCAACCCATAATTATGAGTTGGCACTGAAAGAACCTAGAAACAGATAAAAAGATTTTTAAAAAATTATTTCATTGATTTCTTGTCAATCCCTCAGTATACATATTATATTTTCATAAAATTTCATCTGAAATGTTCATCCTTTTAAGCTTACATTTTACCATTCAATAATCTCCAAATCATTTCTGAATCTAAAGTCAATATGTCAAGCATAAATTTGGCTAATTCATAA